TACTTACTTACTTACTTACTTACTTACTTACTTACTTACTTACTTACTTACTTACACACACGCACGCACGCGCGCGCGTGCACACACACATACACACACACATAAACAAACAAACAAAAACATGTACATATACGAAAATAAACAGAGACACACAAGCGACTTTATTTCTTCAGAGGGGAACGGTAGGTAACAAAATAGTTAAAGAAGAACTTCTTCACACCAAGGAATCTGTACGACCACAACCCCTGTAACCGGTGATATAACACACATGTACACATACGGTCAGATATGTGATATTCACTCTGGGATATTGTCTCTGCCCTCTTTCACTTTCTCCATTCCATGACAGATAATAATAATATAGTCTAACAAAAAGGATTAAGTGGTCGAGGCCCTCTCAGTTCCCCCTCTCTGCGTCACTTGTTATCAGGCACGCTTCAGGAAGACAGACTGGCGTGTGGCTCCTAAGGGACAACGACATCATCATATTAATCTGCCCCATTTGCTCTGGACGTTCGGACACGTAATACCGGGGATTCCCGAAGATTTACGAGGACGCTCATGTGATTTACGGGGATTCCCGTACGTCCAGCGAGGCTTGTTGCGAAATGGTGTTCAAGTCACGATGTGACGTAGAAATGTCCCCACCTTTCGCCGTGGAAAATGGCCGGCCTCCTACGTATGACAAAAGACTTACAGCATGAATTGTAGCCCTCACTGGACCCATGGGACAATTACATATTCCTCAGGTGAAAACATCCTCGTAAGCGAATTAGTGTTAACCATGGTGTTTTCACGGTTCTGCGAGTAAGGATTATTATGTTCACTCCTAGTGAAATACGGCGTCCATCACAGCCCATTATTCTCAACTCAAAAAAATAAAAATTCAAGACCTGCAAAAGCGCATATTATAAATATTAAATCCAGACTAACAAGCATTCTTAAAATAAATGACCTTGTAAACAGGCTATTAGGTGACAAATTCCCCTTTCCCCAACAAATCCATTTAAAGCAGTCAGAGAGCATAAAGCTGGGTTTGCAGTATTAACTACCAAAAGCACGAAGAATTCCTACAGCTGAGTTGGCTTCGAACTAAACCAGCGCATGTCGCGGTTCGAATCTGCCACGGACATGAACAGCGCACTGTCTTTTTCAAGACTATACGAGTTCTGTCGCCGATCCATATTAAACGTTTCTCTTTCAAACAAGCCTTTTCTTTGTAAAATAAGACGCTAAATACAAAGCAACTATGCGAAAAAAAAACCCAGGTGAATCTTTTGATATTAAAACTCTCTATTGTGGTGTCTGTTATACTTGTTTGCCGAATGAATTTTGCAACATACGTATTACAGTAACGTTACTCAGTTGGTTTGACTTCCGACTTAAAGAGAAAAGAGGGTAAAGGGCCATTACACTACTCAAACAATCCTGCATCATACAATACTGACACTGACAGAGCTAACTGGGCTCACGTTACTTGTTAGAAAAAAAAACCAGCATAAAAAGACCGTAACATAACCTTGAGATGAAATTTAGCATCTGCTATTCGCTTCACCTGTACGTAAGTTTATTAAGTCCTAAGCTATTTTAAGATCCACCGTTCAGAACTGAAAAACTCTGAGGGGAAATCTTCTAGTACGGGGTAGAAAATGTCTTACTTGTATCGGGGATGAAACCTCCCCGACTCTCCGTATGCCAATCAAGTTCTTACGAAAGTGTGCCGCGGTCACCGGATGGTTTGTACATCCGCCAAAAGCTATTTTGGGGAACTCTTCAGAAAATCGGTCTCATTCGCTCGGAAAGAGAGGATGCCTTGCTCGATTGAACCGTTTAACAAAAACTTCAAGAAGGTAGTAAAAAAACAAAAAA